AGAAACATCTGATGATGATGAGGAACCCTTTTTAAGACTCTCATGTATGCTCAGTTCTGGAATCTGATGTTTGTTTTCTTTGACAGGTTTAAAAGAAAAGTCTGTGGATTTAGACCCGAGGGAAGAGTCTGTAGATCAGAGTAAGTTTAAACTCTATTTTTGCTGTCTGATTTCTGTTTAGTTGATTGATTCTGTAAAATTTTTGTTATTTTTCTGAAAGATTTCAACTGGATCTACGCAGTGGTTGTAGTAACTCTGGCCTGTTCTTGTTGTCTCGCAATCTTCACCTACTGGAGATATAAAACTTATAAAAACAGGTAATTTTCTCCTTTCGCCGTTTTTCATCTACAACCTTTTAAAGCATCTAAATGCTGGTTATAAACTACAACTTTTCTTCCCTCAGGGGCCCCGAGCAGAACAAAACACCACTAAGAGAAACGCCTAAGGAAGGGTGAGAACATTTTCGCACAGAAAGTAATTTAGTTCTGTTTGTGATGTGGTTCTAGTTCTACCTTCAGTCGTCACCAGATCTGGTATCAGTTCCTCCTGTTCATTCAGACCTTTAGTATAAGGATTTCTGCTGAATGATATAATTTCCTAGAGGCGTACCACAGGGCTCTGTTGTAGGTTGTTTGATGGATATTTTATACATTATAATCCAATCTAAAATAATTAACTGATTCCAAAAGAAGATCAAATAATTTAACATAGTCTCAATATTTTAAGTCCAAATATAATATTTATGCCAACAAGTCATTATTTATAGCTTTATATCAACCTTTAAAACAGTACATTTCTCTTTAGTTCAGTTTAAGTTATTTCATAATGCAGACAAAACTCAATGGTGCTGCTTGTAATATGTGAATATATCATATATATCCACAAGGTGGATTTAAAATAAATTAGTTTAGGCTGAAAACTTCATGAGGGAAACCAAAAAGTATTTCAATCTAAAGTCAAACTAAAGAGGAATATTGTTTTATTATAATCTGTGACTCATTGTCTCATCAGGTCTTTTTGTTATCATTCTTTTCATCGTGTTTTTTCATTGTCTAACTTTGCTAACTGGTTTTATTGTATACTTTCTGTCTTTTCCAGGGCTTCTGCTAAAGTGGTCAAAACACCTTTACTGACGTTGATAAATGAGTGTAGACAGAGAACGTCTACCAAGAAAAGTCCAGAAAACAACACAGTCAAAGCATCACCTTCTGTTGCAAAAAGGTTGTTTTCTGAGTCGGACAATTTAACATGAGAGTAGAAGACCCTGTTGGTTATGTTTGGTCTAAATTAGGGATCTGTTTTATTTGATAAACCAAACACTGATATGTAGGTGAAACTGTCTGTATATTTCTCTATCTGTGTTTCTGTGAGGACCTAATCTCTGACTGTCATTTTTTTCTCATAATTCATGAACAATTATTTTTTTACAGTAGGGGACAGAAATATATTTTATATTGATAATTTCCATGTTCTTGTTAAACTGCTTTAAAATTTATTGATTTATCTGTTTAAACTATAAAGATGATTTTTCTTGTGGGAAGCCTAGTTTTATCATTGAAAGCATCTTTATTTTATTTACATCTACCCAAAAAAGGTTGGTATAACCTTTTCCCTTTTTTCTGTTAGGTTTATTATTTAGACATCATGTGCATTGTTATTTTGTTAGCCAGATTAGACAGAGCAGAAGGCCTTCCTTCACGTGGTGGATGTCACGGTGTGTATGGAGGTCCTCTAATCAAGACAGCCTTCGTGTCTTTAAGAGTACACAGGATATGGGCACATCTTGGAGCCGGTCTGATAGAGGAGAGCTATCTGTAACCCTGAAGCATAGAAGCAAGCTGCATGAAGTTCAAGACATGGATGGCGTATCAGTTTCTGATACGGACAGCTAAGCATCAACATGATGCAACACATAGACCCATGAGCTATAAGAAGCAGGTGATGACCTTGCACAGCTGTGGTCTCAAAAATCAATTAATATTTTTCTTAATTCAAATCAGGTCAAAGTTTGTAATTTGAGTTGAGCGACTTAAATGTTCCTTTAATCCTCTACGTCTGTCTTGTTTTACCTATAGATACATTCACCAAGCATAGGGAAAGTATTCAAACCAATTAAACATTTTCCAGAAAATCACAGTCAAACCTCCAGTGGTAAATTGTGATGTTTTTTTCTTTTAGACTTTTTACAGTTAAAATGCAACTGAAGAGTGTTGAATGCATTTTTTCAGCCCATTTCAGTCAACACTTTGTATTAACATGTTTTACTGAAGGTCAGTAGCAAAGACTTTAGTTTAAGTCATTTCAAGATTTGCAGAGGAGCCAAATATCAGTCAGATGGGATCTGCTAGAAGTCTTGCCCCAAGCTTGGCATAAATGCATGCCATACTTTTTAATTCATTAATTTGTAAAAAAAAAAAAAAAAAAATCTTTTGAAAACAATGCATTAATTTCCATCTACTTCACATTTGAGTAGCCCTACTACTTGTGTTGGAATTACATATAATGCCTCAAAAGGTCAATGTTGTGTTTGGAAAACGCTCCATAAAATAATCTAACAATTAAGAATTTATGCATTTTAATGTTGTCGTTAGTAATTAGGACACAAACTAACACTATTATGTGTTAAATCCATCAGTTCTTCCATGGAAATGTTATTCTCTTGTTTTATCTAATATCACTGTATAAATTAGTCCTATATAAGCACACATGCTCAAAGTGCTGTTAGCTAACAATCTCCTGACAGCAAAGTGTTGATTATTACGGTTCCTCCAGGCTTGTGTAATCCGACATTTCCTAAACCTGCCAGTACAAATGACTTTTACCCATTTGTGTGTATTTTCTCCAGATTATGATTAACTTTATTTATCCTTTTGGTTTGTACCTCTGGAAAAATAGTTTTCTTGAAACAACACAACACCGAAAGACACTGTCACTCATAAACAAAGAGCAATAAAAAATGAAATGAAGGAAAGATGTAAAATTAACCAATAACAGTAGAAAATGAAAATAGAGATGTGCATTTATAGTATAAATATATGGAACATAAATAAATAAGTATATAATTAAACTATTATAAATATCTGTATCGGGCAGCATGGTGGTGCAGTGGGTAGCACGGCTGCCTTGCTGCAAGAAGGTTCTCTGTTTGATTCCTGGGCCAGGGTCTTTCTGCATGGAGTTTACATGTTCTCCATGTGCATGCATGGGTTTTGTCTGGGTAATCCAGCTTCCTCCCACTGTCCAAAAAACATGACTGTTAGGATAATTGGCTTTTCTAAATTATCCTTAAGTGTGAGTTTGTGTGAGCATGGTTATGTGTCTTTTTTGTCTCTGTTGCCTTGCAACACACTAGCAACCTGTCCAGGTTGTACAGATAATTTCACCAAAACATTTATTATTAGTAAAAATGTCCTTCCAGATATCTACAACTGCAGGTTTAGTAAGAACTATTTAATTGTGGATTTCCATGATTGCCATTCTTCCTATATCTTTGTAACTTACATTAAAAAAAAAACAAAAAAATGTGTGCAAACGTTGCTTCAATTATCAGTTATGAACATATATGTGTTATGGAAAAATATACTTTTTGTACATATCTGATATTAAGTTCTTACTAGTAGGATTCCATTTTCAGATCGTTTAAAATCAAGACTGGCTGCACACTGGCTCAGATTAGATTAACGTGCATAATGGCCATCCAATAAGTTCAATGTTATGCTGGTTGTTCAATCTACGATTAATAGTACATTTTTCCTCCATAGGTTGTTTTTCTCTTATTAGCGATTGCCACCTTCTTGTAGTCAAGAGATTTGCATGCCTCAATGACCTTAAAAGAACTTTAATTGCAGCTTCGCTTCAGGTGGGATACTCAAACTGAGCAGTGTAGAGGCAATCCATTTATGTCAGGTTATACACAGTTTACATAATTTAATTTGTTTAATTCACTCAATAATATTCAAAAGCAGTAGAAACTTATATCCATCCCCTATTCAAATAAAATTAAAATTAGCTATTCAGCTAAGAAAACTATTACAGATATAAGATAAACATAAAACATACAAAAAATGACTGATATCACTTTATCCTAATCATTTTCATAATACTGCAAAAAAACATTTGAATTTTCAATCTTCTTCCATAAATTAACACTTTTAATAGAAATTTATCTTTCCATTGTTGCCTTTCTGGATCAAACTCTTCAGAGCCCCCTTTTTTCAATGCAGGTTAGTCAATGACTATATGTAATGACATTTCTACTAGTAGAGGTATCGTTTTCAACTAAGAAGTTTCATTTCTGGATGTCTAGACTTTTATTTTCACTTATATAAAATGGTCAATATGAACAGTAATAAATGGAATAGGAGATCTTAAATTAATTTCAAGACATCTAGAATGTTTATTTTTAATAAGAGGACTGTCATTTTAGACATCTGGAAGTAAGAAGCTCCATTTTTATGAAGGCGGGGAGAGACATCATTTGGGGTAAGAATTGTATTCAAAATATCTGAATGATCATGCCAGATGGGAAGAAGGTTATATTGGATGTCTGGAATGTTTGTGTCTACAACAAATGATTTTATTAAATACATATTCACACAAGATAATAAATGTTAAAAAAAAAATGACCTATCAAAATTTGAAAAGATTCACATGTTTCTGAAACTTTATTGTTACTTGTACAATTTAATTTAGGGTTCTGTTAAAAAATATGTAGCTAATTCAGGACAGTTAAAACTACAGGTCTGACGAGTTGTACTGGTTGTGACGAGGAAGTAGTTTGTGTTTGCTTTGAATAAATACCATAATTGCCTGCCTTATCCAGCGTCACTTCCGCATTACGAAGTGCGAATGCGGGTCTTATCTCAGCTGCAAATCATCATCGACGACGAGAAATATGAGGAGGGGTTAAAAAACCGCAAAATGCGAGCCGATGTTTTATTTAACTGTCTTTTATTGAACACCATCCTTCATACAGGTGAGAGATTATTTTTTATATATTTTTTAAACTAAGTATTTTTTTTGACATATTTACAAACTTTTTATTATGATTTAAAGTAAAATTGCCAAAGGGTTGGCATCAAAATAGGTGGATGTTTATTAAAATTTGAATGATCAGTTTAGCCCTACAGTGAAGTAAAGGCTATTTGTTTTTTTTTAAAACGAAAGCAAAAGTGAGATTTTTTGCTGGTAAGAAAACTATCCAGTAAGGATCCTGTGTTGATATAATAAAATAAATAAATAAAATAAAAATATCCAGAAAGGTTCATACAAGAAAATACTTATTTCCCATATCACTGAAATGTTGATGCTATAGTGTTCCTTCATTT